CGGACACTTACCATTTTAACTTCACAATTACCATATGTAAAGAACATACTTCGTGCACTGGTTAAAAATGGATACTATAATTTCGGATACTTACCATTTATATAGGTAATAATTGCATGGACTAATAATTATTACATTTTTTGGTTATTACCTTTCTTGCTATTAAACATAAATATAAATATATATTTAAAGGGTTTTACCATATTAATTTTTTTCAAAACTGTGTGTATAATTATTCTTACCATATTTATATTATACTATAATCACACACATTTTTATATAACCTAATCACACGATAATCATATAATCATATAATTATGGTAAGAATAATCATACACACGTTTTTAATAACATTGATTGGCGTGTATTAAAGTTTATAAATATTTTTTATAAATAGTTTTTGCCTATTAATAATAATAAGTCTTAATGAATTACCTTTTTTATTTAATTCATAATTATGTCGGTCTACATTATTACCATTTTTAATAATAATCAGTCTTATTAAACATAATACTTTTAAATTTTTATCATTAAAGGAGAAAAATTTTAAAAATGGTAATTTCCAGATTTTTATTTCCTTACTTTAAAAATGGTAATTTTAAATAATTATGACAGTTAATTATTATAAATATAATATAATAATTATACTTATAAAACGTAAATTTTATATTACTATAATTTCAGACACTTACCATTTTAACTTCACATTACATGTAATAGCCATGGTCTTTGGGCGGGAAAACGCAATATTGACTCCATGTCTTTTTAAATAAAGCATAGATACTTTTAAATTTTTATCATTAAAGGAGAAATTTTTAAAAATGGTAATTTCCGGATTTTTATTTCCTTACTTTAAAAATGGTAATTTTAAATAATTATGACAGTTAATTATTATAAATATAATACGGAGTATAATAATTATACTTATAAAACGTTAATTTTATATCACTATAATTTCATACACTTACCATTTTAATTTCACATTACCATATGTAATGACCATAGTCTTTGGGCGGGAAAACACAATATTAACTCCATGTCTTTTTAAATAAAGTATAGATTTGTAGTATAGGTACATTTTGATGGATTCTAAAGTGATTTTTCTAAAGGGAAATCCAATCACAAATCTATGGCCACCCCAAAGATTTCAACCGAGTAGAACAATGAACTGTGGTCATCACCAAAGGAATGCATACGGAGTAATCCAATTGCGTACCATGCAATTTTTGTTGGAATGCATGATTTCAATTCTTTTTATACTGTTAAGTGTTAAGTCACAAGTTTTGATAATTGACAAACACAAGTTATTCAAGTCAAGAATAAAGTTTTAGATTGACAAACATAAATACTTGAAGTGTCAAATCCTTTGAAGTATTCGAGAAGGAGCACCGGATTTAATGAAGACCAAAACGCCCTACAGAGCGCCTGACAGAAGTGAGAGGAAGATTTTCGAAGATTTTTAATTTATTTGAGTCTTAAGAAATATTGTAAGGATAACAAAAGTATTTTTTACTCCAAAATCATTTTTATGAGAGATATAAAATTTATACATATTTTGGAGTTAATCAAAAAATCCTTTTTAATTGTTCAACAATGTTTTTATTGAGTCACCTACAAAACGTGTCAAACATTTATCAAAATACTTATTTTGATATTAGAGTGATACGAACTCGTATCGGATAGGGAAGACTCAGAGCGTCTTCGAGCTCTTGAGAATATGGGACGAGGAAGAAGAAGAAGAATTGAGGTGAAGAGGGAATCGGCGAACCGAGAGGGGAGAAGAAATTAGGGTTTTGAGTTGTTTATTGATTGATTAACTCTAAATGGGGTTACATCTCTTTATATATGGGAGAAGGAAACCCTAACGCTAACTTGACGGTTCAATAAAAGTGACGAGGGAAAGAACCGTAAAAAAACCTCGAAGGAGCTTATAATTTCGCTCACCTAATAAAACCTAAATTACATTAATAATAATAATAATAATAATAATAATAATACTATTAAATATCCTACTCTACTATCCATAACACTCTCACCCCCTTAGAAAATCACCTTGTCCTCAAGGTGGAGGCTCCCAGTCATGCTTCAAGACTGAAGAGAAAATGTTGACCCAAAGATTATGCCCACTTGATGATAGATCTTCATTAAGCCTGCAAATTGGAGTATAGCGATGGACATAAGAGAGAAGAGCAAATACAAACTTAGCTACCGGTGGTGAAACCCAATACTCGGACTCCACTATATTCGCATGGGCAGATGACTGGATGATATCAAAGGACAGTGAGATGTCCGCTTGCGTATAATTTACATATGCTACTTGGGCCGTTTTGGACGAAGGCACAAGGCTACATGCGATGATGACATTGCTCAATGTTGGATCCTTTGCAACTTCTTCCTTACCCGGTGCATCTACGTGCGTATCAACAGCGACAAGATCCGATGGAAAGGCATTAACAATACCTTCAACAAAAACACCATCAGCATCAACAGCAGGAACTCTCACTGAACCCCCAATCGTACGCTCCACATCAGTAGATGTAGGATTGTGTAGAGTGGTTGTGGGGACCAGATCAGGTGGAGCAATGGGAATGCCGAGAAGATTCCTTATAGTGTTCATCATCCTTATTTTGAATATTTTTAACTCCAAGGGAATATCACTCAATGTCATTGGAGTACCACGCACCAAATCTTGTATCGAGCAAGATATTTCCACATTGAACGCATATAACTCAGAATCAGAATACGGTAGATCTAAAAGATGATGAAATAGGTGGAACATCTTCAAAATTTCATCCACATGATCATAAGCAATACAGACTCCGTCATGAAACTCAACTCTTCCATAAAAGATATTCTTCAACACACCAACAAGTTTGTTCAAAGTATCGTCCATTGTCACAATAATTTTATCCAACATCGAGATCATAGTTGTGGCAAGACGTATACAAACCCCAATTCCAAATGAAATCTGTAACGCTTAAAGTTATACCTGGTAACAAATACTTTCCACAACCAAGTTCTTAATGCACGAGATTAGCAATCACAATTATGCTAATTTACCAACAGCCCCCTTTGATAATTTAATCCAACCTGTATTGACAGATTATGAGGCTTCCTTAATGATGAGAAAAAAGTGGCGGCTCCCAAATCTTTTTCTGCCATAAGGGGTTTTTGTTTGCCACAAATGGTAAAAGTTTGGTAGCCAATTGAAGTAATCACTCTGCGCTCCTTTTTTTTCGATCAGGCAGGAACAATGGAGGCGCCCCAAAATTGGAGCAAAATAACTTTCTTTTTTTATTAGTGAGCCACTGCTTATGCAAACCAAAAGCACCCAAAAGAATTATCAGAGTTAATTTGGTGCGGCGGCAGAGACTGCCTTGAGCAATTCCTCGTCGGCAACAACAATTCAGCGATGACAAATTTGGAATTAAACCCTTGTTGCGGCCCAGGTTCTGTCTCAAATTCCTGCCGTTGCTCGGTCCGTCCGACGGCAAAGACTTGCAGCGTATGAGAGCTGTTCAACTCTCTGGTATGTGCCGACGAATTGCGGCAACTCGATGAGAGCACCAATTTTTTTTAGCAAATGTTTTTTTTTGTTTTGTTTTTTTTTGTGAGTTCTCTCAATGAGAGCACCAATGATACGAACTCGTATCGGATAGGGAAGACTCAGAGCGTCTTCGAGCTCTTGAGAATATGGGACGAGGAAGAAGAAGAAGAATTGAGGTGAAGAGGGAATCGGCGAACCGAGAGGGAAGAAGAAATTAGAGTTTTGAGTTGTTTATTGATTGATTAACTCTAAATGGGGTTACATCTCTTTATATAGGGGAGAAGGAAACCCTAACGCTAACTTGACGGTTCAATAAAAGCGACGAGGGAAAGAACCGTAAAGAAACTTCGAAGGAGCTTATAATTTCGCTCACCTAATAAAACCTAAATTACATTAATAATAATAATAATAATACTATTAAATATCCTACTCTACTATCCATAACATAGAGAATATTTTTGGTAAGCAAAAATATTTTATTCAAAAATTTTTCTTATACATCATTTGGCATACAAAATATTTTTGGACTCAATTTCTACACCCTAATTATCCTTAAATATTCAAAATTTGAATATTGATATAATTGAGGTGACTGGAGCATCCAATCACCATGTTATCTTGTGGGAAACAAGAGAAATTCGACAAAAATGCTTTATCCCCACTCACATGCATGTATTTATTCTGTCTCTACATTATTCGCTTCAGAATTCGATTTGTATTTTTGCAAAAATCGATTTTTTGCTACTGGATGAATCGACTGAAGGTTTAGAATCGAGAATCGACTTTTTGGGTTAAAAATTGTTTTATATATATTTTTTTCATTATCATTTCTTTTCTTAGACCAACAGACACATTCTATTTACCCTATTTAAAACCCTCTTCCTTTGTCATTTTGAGATATGAGAAACACTCTAAAAACACCTCATTCTTGTAGTCTTTATCCTTCATTAGTTCTTTTCTCAAATTAATTTATTTTGAAAGAAAACCATTTATTTTCAAGAGAGTGTTCTTGTCATCCATAGAGTTTAATCGGTTTCTAATTACTACTCTTGTGAGAGTTTTGTCGTGGGGTTAAGGAAGGTTACACTTCTTGTTGTACAATATTTATGTAACTTAAGCTTTGGGTGTGGAGTCTTGTAGAGAGCACATCTATGAGTGATTATGTTGAGACTTGTGAGATTCAAGTTCTCAAGTTGTAAAAAGTTTGTCAAGCACCCGTTGAAGCTTAATAAGTAGTGGTAGCTTGGAGATAGTCTATAAGGGAACTGGACTAGCCACAAAGTGATAAACCAGTATACACTAGTGTGTTCTTTCCCTTCTCTCTTTTATTTCCGCTGCACATTTGTTTATTTTTATTTACACACAAACACGCTGTAAAAAACGGTAAACATTCTCAACAACTCTATTCACACTCTTCTAGACGTGCACATATTGTCTAACAGTTTTTATGTGAGAAGGGGAAGAAACTGTCAGGTAAGGGTCAAGCTCCGGCACCATCGATATGGTCAGGCGAGTGCTTTGAGGTGGCCGTGAAGAGACTGGCGAAGCTGAAGAAGGCGATGAAAGAGGCTTCTTTCCAAGGGGGAGAAACTATATCCCAATTCCCAAATAAGGCTTCTTTCGAGCTACGGAACCAAGATGAATCCGGTTAGGATTGCTTCGACCTCTCTAGTAGGACAACTTTCTATTTCTCATGGCCTCCTATGTTTTTTTTCTTTATTGATGCCAACCAATTTTTAAACAAGTCGATAAAATCTTTCAAAATCGTGCTTATAAAATAAGTTAAAATCTACCAAATTTCGCGTAGAATTAAAATAATTCATGGGTTATGTATAATACACAAATTCTAAACAATCTATCAAAATTTAAATCGAATACCCTAAGGGTCCGTTTGGTATAAGGAATTGGTGGAATTGGAATTAAATTTTCATGGGATTCAATTCCATAGAATTGAATTCTATCAATTTTAATTCATATTTTGCATTATCAATTCCAAATCCACATAATTTTTGTGCTACCAAACACCAAAATTGAAATTGAAGTCCCTAATTTCAATTCCATAGTTTGAATTCCATGTAGCAAACAAGACCTAAGTGTATTGGTTATGTGAACGAAGTTCGCACAAGGCTGCCCTTTGGGCCGGTGCAGCATATCTCGAATTGCACCCGGTTTAGACAAATTTGAGGGCCCAATATTCTCTATGAAGAAGTGATAACCCAATATTCTAGAAGAACACTCCAGGCCCGAGCTGCCATGCGCCCTTGCTACTGCTAAGTGAAGACGACTGCAAAACGGAGAGACTCAGGGACGGCCGGCCGGACCGAGGGAGGGAGGAGGCCAAACGATTAAGGATTCATCGACACGGCGGCGATTCTTATTTCAGATTTTCCCCATTTCTGAGCCCGCTATTCTCCAGGTGTGATTTTCGATTTTTACTCGATTTATTCTTCCCTTTCTGAACCATTGAATGCATCCAATGTTTTTTTGCTGCGTTCTAATCCTTTTATTTTATTTTCCATTTCTCATATATATTTTTTTGTGGCCTTGAGTTCCTCCATCTTCTATATTAATTAGTAATTTGTCTAAACTTAATTAAATTGTTTACTAGAATTTAATATTCTGAAATTTATTAAATTGTTTGGTAAAGTTGAATTTTTCTAAAAGTTATTCAATTTTATGCAAATAAATCAATTAAAGTGTTCAATTTTATGAAATTTATTTTAAAAAATGATTTACATTTGATAGAAGTAATAGAACACACCACTCATTGTATTTGATACCAATTGAATGTGAAATTTTAATAAGAAAGATAAATTAATTAATTTATTGATTAATTGTTTTGCATTAAATGTACAAATTGAATGACTCTTTTTTGTGTGAGCTTTTCATGGAACTTTTTTTAGTTTATAAATAATATATTCATTGTAAACAAAGATAATAATTGATATTAAAAATATTTAAATTTGACAAATATATAGAGGAATGGGCCACAATTTTTACTTTGCACAGTGCCTCTATGAAGATCGGACCGGCCCTGCTCACAATGCATGGTTAGGTTCTCATGGTCGGAATAATTTTATAGACAAATTTGGTTTGAACGTTGTGGAACATATCACGCAATGCATAGTGAATGGCACATTCTTTTAGATAACGATTTTTGTGTGCTTTGTTTTTTAGGAAGAAAGGTAACAAAGAAGATGTGGCAAAGTTTTGACTACGTTTTTCATTTCCTCAAATTATGATGCGCCAGCAGTTGATAGTCTTCAGTCGTAAGGTGTTATCAAATTCTTCTGTTTTAACACAGAGAAAATATGCTGAAGTGGCGTACCCTTTGAACACGTTCAACTCTATAAGCAACAATGGGTTTATTACATATAGAGAATTTGTACACACCTCTACACGCATTCGAAAGGAATGGGATCCGAATGATCCAGCTACCTTGATGAAGGAGGATGGGGTCTCAGTTTGTACCAAAATGTGGATTGAGAGTTTCCGTGAACCAGAAAAAACAGTGACTAATCTCACTGATTATTTGAGGAGGTTTGAGCTGTGGGTTTTGGCGTACCAGAAAGTTTGCGCAGATGACATTGGAGCATATATGCCCCGAAGCTCAATAACTAGGTCAGCTCTTGAGGATTTGTTGGGATTGAGGAATGCTGTTCTCGATAATAGGTTTAGGTGGGGGGCTAGGTTGGAATTTTTTATTAAATCTCCTAGAGATAAGACCGAGTACGAATCATTATCGAAGAGAAAGATCAAGGCTATCCTTACTACCACACAGCCATCCCCTTTTCAGGACAAAATAGTTCAAGAGGTGCTGTTTCTGATTTTGGAGCCAATTTATGAGGCCCGTTTTTCTGAAAAGTCATTTGCATTTAGACCGGGAAGGACTGCGCATACTGTTCTGAGAGTGATTCGAAGGAGTTTTGCAGGCTACCTGTGGTACATGAAGGGTGACTTGAGTACAGTGTTAGATGGAATGAAGGCTGGACTAGTGATTGGTGCTTTGATGAGGGATGTTAGGGACAGGAAAGTGATTGATTTAATTAAGTCCGCTTTAACCACTCCAGTGATCACTAGTAGGCCTGACGATGGGGAGAAGAAGAAAAAGAAGAAGAGGAAGTACCAAAAGAAGAGAGTTCTAGCCGAGGATGAACCAAAACCTGATCCATACTGGCTAGACACCTTCTTTGGGTTTGCACCGGAAGAAGCTGAAAAACTCCCTTCCTGGGGTCACTGTGGTATATTGAGTCCACTTTTGGCAAACATTTGTCTTGACGAACTAGACCGATGGATGGAAGGCAAGGTGAAGGAATTCTATCGTCCTTCAAAGAGTGATGTCATTTGGAATAGTCCAGAAGGGGAAGTTGAGCAGGGAAATACTTCATGGCCAGAATTCGTTCCTACCAGCGGGCCAGATAAGACTAGGAAAATGGACTATATCCGTTTTGGTGGTCACATTCTGATTGGAGTGAGGGGTCCTAGGGCAGATGCAGCTACTCTTAGAAAGCAGTTGATTGAGTTCTGTGATCAGAAATATATGCTTAAGCTTGACAACGAGAGCCTTCCTATCGAACACATAACTAAAGGTATTATGTTTCTTGATCACATCTTGTGTCGTCGAGTTGTTTATCCCACTCTACGGTATACTGCCACAGGTGGCAAAATAATCAGTGAAAAAGGTGTGGGGACCCTTCTCTCCGTCACGGCTAGCCTGAAGCAGTGCATTAAACAGTTTAGAAAACTCAGCTTCCTTAAGGGAGATAGAGACCCGGACCCACAGCCATGCTTTAGAATGTTTCATGCTACTCAAGCGCATACAAATGCGCAGATGAACAAGTTGTTGGCTACAATGGTTGAATGGTATAGATATGCCGACAATAGAAAAAAGGTTGTCAACTTTTGCGCATATATTATAAGGGGTTCCCTTGCAAAGCTCTATGCTGCAAAATATAAGCTTCGGTCACGAGCTAAGGTTTACAAAATTGGTTCTAGAGATCTTCGCCGTCCTCTAAAGGAGAAAAAGGGACAGTCTCCAGAATATCAACATTTACTTAGAATGGGTTTGGTGGAGTCAATTGATGGGTTATTGTATACCCGCATGTCCCTTGTGCCAGAAACTGATTACACCCCATTTCCTGTTGGGTGGAGGCCTGATCATGAGAAGGCATTGATTGAGTATATAATGCTTGATGACTCAAGAGTGTTGGATGAGCAGCGACGCTGCTTAAAAGAGCAAGGACTGATTTCACCTCAGGACTACATTTCAATGCTTGTTTGGAACTACAAAAGAAATGGTTTAGCTTTGGATTTGCGGCCTTCAACAGTAAACACAGCGGCCAAGAAAGATTTGATGTTGGGTACTGGTGATGTAAATGAGTTTGGAAAAGATGGAAGCAATGAAGATGAAGATGTTAGTGCTGCACAAATGTAAGTCGATGTGACTTTTTTCACAATTTCACGACTCTGGTGTGAGAAAATCCTTTACACTACGTTTGGTTCACGGAAATTTGAAAGGAAAAGACGATTTCTTTTCCTTGTCTAAATGGAAGGGATTCATTTTCCCTTCTTAGCTTATTTTTTCTCCCACTTTTCTTTTCTTTTTCTTCCCTAACCAAACATGAAAATTTAATTTCATCTCATTTTCTTTTCTTTTTTCCCTCAAATTCCTTGAACCAAACATAGTGCTAGAATTCTTATAGCCAATATGGGAAATGTTTTACAGTCATAAGCCCAAATCTACCTGGTTATGGGGAATATGCTGCCACATATTTTCAGATTTGAGCGACTTTTAGTGCAAGCTTTTTCCAGTTTTTTCCCTTTAGTAGAGGCTGACTCGTTCTTAATTTGTTTCAGGGTCTGCTAGCCAGTCGGGCACTGTATAACATGCAATCCGTTGTAACCCTTCGGAATTCACAACATCAAACTGCAGCAAGCAAGCTTCTATAGGACAGGGCTTACTAAACGATATGCATTAGGAGTTTTGCCCATAGGATTGAGTTTGTGTCTTGACAAACTCTTCAACAAATCATATGGTTCAGAGAGAGTTAAGATTGACATGGTAAACTGGCTGCACATGTTGGGATAATCAAATGCATTATCATCTTCTGGAAAATAAATAGAGCATTACATGGCCATGGTATTTGCTGCACGGATGGGGGCCGTTTGGACGCATTCGGGATGCATAACTGCATAAGCTTCACAGGAAGTGAGCTTTAACTTATTTCAACTCCTTGTCTATACAAACACAGAGACCATGGTAATGCCTGGGGAGTTATTGTGTGTTGTAACACTAATGCCAGTCTTATGTAGTGTGACGTGGATTCCTGATGAAACTGGCTCTCACTTATATCAATTTTGACACCCTTCTTCGGTTTCTTTTTATTGTATTGTGTTGTAGCAATACCATGGTTGTTAAGTCAACTAGTCGAGTCGAGTCGGTGAAGGGCTAGTCGGCCTACTAGTCGTAGACTAGTCGACAAATCACAATTAGTATTGAAATTCTTAACATTTTAGGTATCTTCATTCACCCAAGATAACTATATAAATTTATATGCCAAAATATCAAATAAAAATAATACTCCTACTCTCCCATCAAATTGCATGTTTTGCCGTGTAACGTTTGATTGAAGTTAGCATCAAAAGATCTACGAAACATGAGGTGATTGTTATATATTTTAGTGTAATTGAAAAACTATGTAACTAATGATATCCTAATAATTATCAAAGAAATTTGGTGGTGCGGAGTGCACGCTTCGTTGAGTTTGTTATGATAAATATCCTGTTTTAACAGAGATTCCAAGGGGGCAACGCCCCGGAGCAAATTTCAAGTGGCAGCAGCCCTTGCGGGTTCCAAGGGGCAGAGCTCCGGGCTGGGGTAGAAAATTTTTTATTTTGGACAAAGTGATATGTTAAAAATTCATTTGAAAATATTCAAAAATAGATAAGCACTGTTTTTCTTTAGAATCGCGCAAAAGGTTGCGTGTTTTGGACGGCAGACACGACCGCAGGCTTCTTCCCTTTCGCGACTCTATAAAATCCGCTTCTCCATGGTCGCAAGGATAGTTCGAAATTTCATAACATATTCATACTTGTTCTTCAAAACTTCGAGTGTTATCTGATTCAATTTTGGATTAAACTCCCAAAATATTCAATATGAAAGTGTTATAAACAACACTCAATTTATTCATATTATCTTCTTTATACCCAATAGTGATTATTTTATCAAATTAGCAACAAAAATAGATAAAAAATGAAAAAAAAAGTGTGACTCTATAAGTGGTAAATATGTTACTTAAATTAAGATGAAGGAAGTAGAACTTTAAATTCATTTTTTAGAGAAAGTTCTTACAATGGTACTCAATAACAATGTGTTTTTTCTAAATTAGTCCTCAAAATTAACTAATTCTCGAGAAGGTACTCATTAATTGAGAATAATCATCCGTTTAGTCCTCCTGACTAACAGCCATTAAAATAGCGTTAAAATGACTTTAAACCTTATACTATTTTCTCAAAATGGTACTTTCTAACTAAGTGTTTTCTTAAATTAGTCCATTTTCGAAATAAAAATAAATTAATTATGGAAAAATATTTTAAATTTTATAGAATGACAATATAATGCTAAAAACTACAAACATAATTTTATAAATTTGAAAAGAAACATTTTAGATCATTTACAGTTATTTAGAAGGATATCATGTAAATAAAATGTTAAATAAACATTAAAGACAACATCCTAAATAGGAGTAAAATACAAAGAAAGTACCAAAATAGAAGTTCTTTCTCTATGATTTACTTCTATTTATGGTGATTTCTTTAACATTATATTTATTAAACATTTTATTTACAAGACATTCTTTTAAATAATTGTAAATAATGTAAAATGTTTACTTTCAAAATTATAAAATTATATTTATAGTTTTTAGTTTATATTCTCATCTTATAAAATTTAAAATATTTTTTCATAATAAATATATTTTTATTTCGAAAATGAACTAATTTGAGAAAATACTCAATTTGGGAGTACCATTTTGGCAAAGTAGTATAAGATTTAACGTTCTTTTAACGGCCGTTAGTCGGAAGGAATGAACTAAGCGTTATTATCAACTAGTATCACACCCGTGCATTGCACAGGTCATTTTTACGTCATTAAATTAAGATCATTTTTAATACTAAAAAAATGAGATGTAATAGAATATAAAGATTATATTATTTTATGATACAAAACATCGTTGCTTTATAAATTTCGAAAGACTTCTTTGTATACTACATTATTCGTACAGTTTGTGGGAACATTGTATTCATTGCATATCAAAATCTTCAATCCACTACGATTAGTTACTCTTGAAACTATAACATACAGTTGTCCATGACTAAACATCGGTTTTCGTAACAATAATCCAACATGTTTTAGAGATTGTCACTGACTCTTGTTAATCGTCATTGCGTATGAAATAACCACACGGAATTGTCTTCTCTGAAACTTGAATGGAATTCTTGTATCGCATGATGTTAATGATAGTCTTGCAAGCACACTAAAAATATTGTATCCCCTGAAGACTTTCAAAAAATATGGATTTTACTTTTAAATTTATATATAGCCATTTTCATTATAAAATAATAAATGCTAAATTATTTGTCTTACTTTGATTATATTGTATATAGTGTTAAAGAACGTATTACATATATTTTTATAAACTCATTTAAAAATATTACATTGAAGATAATTCACAAAATCAACAAAAAATTTGTTCGATCCCGTGCGTGGCACATGGTGATTGGCAGTTTTTGTGCTTTGGAAATTGCGCAATACTTTGACTCTCATCACTAAATAAACAACATTTTTTTTGCAAATTTTCTTTGAATGTGCGTATATTAGAATCTATGATCTGCGCATGGATTCGATCGCCCTAACAAAAAATGGAAAATGTTTACATATAATTAAATTCAAAGTTTTTTAAAGATTTAGATGTAAAATATAAAATAATGAATTACTAACCTCTGAGTCGTGAAAAATAACATCCAATTATTCTGCCCCCTGAGAATGGGCGGGAACGTGATAAACTCTTATCGCTCTTAGTTTCATCATCAATAGCGCTGACTTTTCATCAACATTTTTTTAAGCGGTTAAGATCCCCATGCTCGTAGAAAAGGCGATGTTGAAACAGTGAATAAAAACACACGTTGAATTATCTTACTACGAAGGGTCTGGAAAGGACCGTATGTATAGTATGTAATTATAAAAGGCTAATTATAGTAGTAAGGGTTTATTTGTTAAACGATTTGTTTTTTTATTTTGGAAACGGAAAGTTTTTTGTTTTCAAGAAAGTTTTGAAAGGTAAGTATATTTAAACAGTAAGAATATGTAATTCTTACCTTTTTGCCTTTATTTTTGAAACCGATTTTTGTTTTTCTTTCAAAACAAATTTCCACTATATTTTTATTTTTGAACAATTACGGTATTAATAGCCTGTATTGGCGTGTATTAAGAGGCTTTTATTAATACCATGTAAACATCACAATTACCATATGTAATGGCATAACATCTCTTGAAACAAAAATTGAAAAGTATTGCGCAAAGTATAGAATGGATATCTGTTTGGAAAGAAATTGGGTTGAACATTTACGTATGGTAATTGTGATGTTATGCCATTAAGCAATACTTTTCAAAAAATTTAAGTATTTCCACTATATTTTTATTTTTGAACAATTACGGTATTAATAGCCTTTATTGGCGTGTATTAATAGGCTTTTATTAATACCATGTAAACATCACAATTACCATATTAATACCCTTTTATTGGCGTGAAAAAAATTGGGTTGAACATTTACGTAATAAAATATTATTGCAACGGAAATTAATAGCTTTTTATTACTTACCATGTAAACTAAACAATGACCATATGTAATGACATAACATCTCTTGAAACGGAAATTTAAAAATTTTAAACGGTTTTTTTATTTTTGAAACAGAATTTTTTTCTTTCAAAATTTACGGCATTAATAGCCTTGATTGGCGTGTATTAATAGCCTTTTATTACTTTCCATGTAAACAGCACAAATACCATATGTAATGGCATAACATCTATTGAAATGGAAATTGAAAATTTTTAAACGAAGACTTTAATGCTTTTTTGAAACAGAATTTTTTTCTTTCCAAACAAACTTCCATTTTATTTATATTTTTCAACATTTACGGTATTAATACCCTTTCATTGGCGTGAAAAAAAATTGGGTTGAGCATTCACGTAATAAAATATTATTAGCACGGAAATCAATAGCATTTTATTACTTACCATGTAAACTAAACAATTACCATATGTAACGGCATAACATCTCTTGAAACGGAAATTTAAAAATTCTAAACGGATTTTCTTTCCAAACAAAATTTTAAAAATATGTAATAGTCTTTTATTACTTTCCGTGTAAACATCACAATTACCGTATTTAATGACATAAGATCTCTTGAAACGGAAATTTAAACTTTTTAAACGAAAATTTTAATATTTTTTTTAACAGTATTTTTTTTCCAAACAAATTTCCACTCTATTTATATTTTTCAACATTTACGGTATTAATACCATTTATTAATGAAATAAAATATTATTGGAACGGAAATTAATAGGTTTTTATTACTTATCATGTAAACCAAACATTACCATATGTAATGGCCTAAAATATGGGCGGGAAAACCATTACCTCAATTCACCTCTTTTTAAATAAAGTATAGATTGATGAATACCATCTCAGGATCTTGTTAATTTTGGGGACTAATTTAGGAAATCACATAGTTATTGAGTACCATTTTGGGAAATTTTCTCTTTTTTTAATGTTTTTTAAATGATTCTCTCTGTGTCTAGAATTGCATACGGTTTACGAGCCTTGGACAACTTTATTTTTTTTATTAAATTTGTTTGTTTGTGACTGCAAATTTTAATTTCTATATTTATATATTTAAAAATTATACTCCCTCTGTCCCAAATTTTTTACACTTTAAGCAAAATGAAACAAATTTTTCCATTTCTTAAATTTATTTTATTTAAAGATTGATATAGAAATTAAAAATAAACTTATATACTACCTCCGCCTCTGACTATTTGTCCAGTTTTGACTTTTTTCAATCAACTGTTTTTCCAACTTTTGACATATAATTAAATAAAATATGTATTGTATATTAATTAGATAAAATAATATTTTGAAAACATTTGATATAATAAATATAATAAAACTATTTTTGTATCAATATATAAAGTTATTTTTATTGAATTTGAGGTCAAAGTTTAACAATTTTGACAAAAAAAAATTAAAAGTGGACAAATACTTAGAAACGGAGGGTTACGGCTATAAAATAAGAGTAACAAAAATATTTTATTTTATCAAATAATCAATCAAATTGTAGAATTAAACAAATTTTTCGTGATTTTTAAATTCTGGAGAGTAAAAAAAATTTACACAAAGGGACTATAAAATACTCCCTCCGTCCCAAATTATTTGTCACATTTGCTTTTTTCAACATCGCGGGAACTTTTGTTTATTTCTACATTTTCATTGGTTATTTGATAAAATAAAATATTTTTGACACCTATTATTTCGAAGAACTTTTCATGTAGTTGTTTGATATGTAATTTTTTATTTTTTTACCAATATGTAAATAAAATGAATTGAAAAAATTTGATATTTTGCCTCGGTAATAGAAATGTGACAAATAATTTGGGACGGAGGGAGTATAAATAGTTGAATAAAGTTAGATTTTTGTGAATAACTTTGAACAGTTTATTTTCGGAATAATAGAATATTAAAAACAAACAAAAATATAAAAACTTTAAAATAAAAAATTGGTTGGAGATGCAGGGTATCGATCCCCGTACCTCTCGCATGCTAAGCGAGCGCTCTACCATCTGAGCTACATCCCCATTTATTTGATGTAACTCATAAGTTTGTTTTGATCCTATTTGTATTCCTTTAATCCTGACTACTATGCCTTCTTCACGCAAATCGAAATGGCGGTACAGACTACGGAGACTAGAGTCACTCTGCAGATTGGTTCGCCCATCTCAAATTCGCCATGGGTAAAATGAATGCCAACGTCAGAGCGACCATTAAATCTCTGAAAGTCCAAAAATTCATCCAAATCCAGAAAAACCTTTCAAATCCAATCCCGAAGCTGTGGGACGACGGCGACATCTTCAACTCCAAGTCTTTGCCATGGAGAAGCAACCGCATCCTGCTCGAGCTACAAACAATCGAGCCCACCCTTCAGCACCTCAACCAAGTTCATGCCCAGCTCGTCGTCTCCGGAAACTTCCAGCACCCCCTGCTCTTGGGCCGCCTTCTGAAGACGCTCTGCTCCTCGAAATCCACGCTCCCCCACGCCACGAGGATCTTTGGGTGTATTGACGAGCCCGATGCTTTCATGTGCAATTCAATCATGAGAGGGCATGTGAATTTCGACGAACCCGGAAATGCTTTGGCATTTTACTATGGTCGAATGGTTAAAGATGGGATCTTTGAGAACAGATATACGTTCCCGGTGTTAATGAAGGCTTGTGGTGATTTGTGTCTGGTATCAGAGGGCGAGAAGGTCCACGCCATTGTGGTGAAGCGTGGGTGGGAGTTGGATTTGTATGTCAGGAATACCATGATTCACATGTATGCGGTCTGCGGGAGTGTTAGAGATGCAAGGAAGGTGTTTGATATGAGTCCTGAATCAGATTTAGTGACTTGGAACACCATGATTGATGCATATGTGAAAAATGGGGATGTGGGATTCGCCCGTCTGGTATTTGATGCTATGCCTGAGAGAGATGTTTTCAGCTGGAACACAATGATTTCAGGTTATGTGGGGATTGGGGAACTGGACGCCGCAATGCAGTTGTTTGACTGGATGCCTTCCAAAGACATTGTTTCTTGGAATTGTTTGATTGATGGGTACTCTCAAATTGGGGATGTCATCGCTGCCCGGTCACTCTTTGATCACATGGGTCCTCGAAATGTTGTTTCTTGGAATTGTTTGATGGCACTGTATGTGCGGATAAAGGATTGCGATGAGTGTTTGAGATTGTTTGACAGAATGATGATGGAAGGAGATGTTAAGCCAAATGAGGCCACCTTAATGAGTGTCTTGACTGCTTGTGCACACTTGAGGAGGCTAGATAGAGGTCAATGGATTCACTCGTTCATCAAAAACACCCATTGGATAAAACCCGATGTTTTGCTAATGACTGCTGTCCTTACAATGTATGTGAAATGTGGAGCCCTTGATTCGGCTAAGTGTGTCTTTGATGCGATGCCAGAGAAAAGCGGGGTTGTAACTTGGAACTCTATGATTATGGGGTATGGCTCACATGGTATGGGCAAGAAAGCGCTTGAAATGTTCTTGGAGATGGTAAAGCTGGGAGTGATGCCAAATGACACCACTTTTGTGTGTGTTTTGAGTGCTTGCGCTCATGCTGGGATGGTAATGGAGGGGTGGTGGGTCTTCAACCTAATGCTCAGAGTCTACAGAATTGAACCCCGAGTTGATCATTTCGGATGCATGGTTGATCTCCTTCAGCATTCCGGGTTGATGGATGATATCAAGAAGCCCCCCCTAATGGAGAGTGGCCCTTCACTTTGGAGTGCTTTACTATCAGATTGCGGGACCCACTTAAACACGGAGCTCGGGGTTATCGTAGCAAGAAAGTTGATGGAATTGAGGCCTGGTGATGTTGGACCATACAAGCTGCTATGTGACATATATGCCATAGAGGGGAGATGGGAAGATGTAGAGAGTGTTAGGAAGATGATGGGTGAGAAGGATATACGCACAAGAAGAAAACAGCAGGGTCTAGCATTTCACCTCAGGACTACAATGGCTAGGGGTGGTTTACAAGGTTCTGCTAGGGAAACAGTATTGAAACCAGACCGGTAGGGCAGGCCGGAGACGGGGAACCTGACCAAAATCGTCGTGGCTCGGAATTGGTGTAGGACTGTATCACCCAGTCACCTCTACTTAGGTCTGGTTGTGTTGGAATTGGGTGAAATTTATTTATAAGAACCCGAAAAATGTTTGGAAAGACATAATACGAGGATTTCTAAAGAAACTAGTCGAGCACTCGAGCAGAGTTGAGACATGGTTGGCCATGTTGTAGTTGGATTGTTGGAAGCCATGAAGATGGAAAAGAAACTATGTAAATTGATCACATAATGTTGGTTAGTGTATAAAATTTTGTGAATCTTCAATTCTAAGTTTGACCTTTTGTTTTAAGTTAAATTTTTTACACAATATCAAAGTGTGGTTAACTTGAACTATAGACCATGTATGGATTCTGGATTTTGAGATGGTTTTTGGTTGTTTTGACAAATTTTGGTTGATTTGACTTGTCAAATAACCACATAGAGAAGAAGAGAAGGATACAAAATCAGATCTGCACCATCAAAGAATGATAAAGGAGAACAGTTTGAGGAAAGAGAACATGTGGGCAGTGTCTTTGTGGATTTCTTCACTAACAAACAGCCTAGGGAAAACCACTTGGACACAGAGCAATGAACCTAATAATATCATTCATCAAGGCAAGACTTTGGATATTCATCAACAAGTCTTCTTGGTCAAGCTAGCCAGTTGAAGATGAGGAGATAAAGAGGAATCTGTTCAACATTCATGTTAACAGATCTCCTGGGCCAGATGGGTATTCCAGTGGGTTCATCAAGAAACAGTGGAATATTTTTTGGCCTCTTATTTGCAAAGCAGTCAAAGAATTCTTTCATAAAGGGTACACACTCAAAGATTGATCTAAGGAAGGCCTATGATTGTGTAAGCTGGAAGCCTTATTTCAGATTCTTTACATTATGTTTGGTTCAAGGAATTTGAAAGGCAAAAGAAAAGAAAATGAGATGGATTAGAGAGAAAAAGATAAGAAAAGGAGGAAGAATAGAAAATGAGAAGACAAATATTACTAAGTGGGTGTTTGTTTTTTGGCCAGAAGAGCTTTTGGCCTCTTTTGTCTGCGCCGCGCAGACGCGCACAGATGCTGAGCTCTGCAGATTGTTTGTGTTTTGGAAGACATTTCACTCAAAAAAGTCTTCCTGGCATCTTCTTGGAGAAGACATTAACCTATGTCTTCTAACATCTTCTCCATTTTTTTCTTCTACTTCTCTTCACCACCACCACCGTCCACCACCATCACCACCGTCCACCATCACCGCCACCGTCGTCCACCACCACCGCCACCGTCCACCACCACCGCCGTCAACGTCTACCACCATCCTTCACCACCACCCTCCACCACCACCACAATCGTCCATACACCACCACCGTATACTACCACCATTAATTTATATAGCAGTCTACAGAAAACAAATTAAACAGTCTTCTTCTTGCAGACCGCAAACCTTCGGTCCACCACTTCTCTTGCAGATGTCTACAGTAGTGGTTCGCAGACTGCAGACCTTTTCCTGCAGAAAAAACAAACACCCCCTAAGAAGCGGGAAAACCAAATTCCTCCCATTTTTGCGAGGAAAATGAGAGAAACCCATTTTTTTCTTTCAAATTCCTTGAACCAAACATAGTGTTAGCCTTTCAAATTCCCTGAACAATTTATTCAAAACATCTTTCATATGCAGCCAAGAAATAGAAGGAAGTCATTTGGGTTCTGTTCTATATATATAAACTCTGTTGTAAATGGCTTTGGTTTGGAATGAAGATCAAAATAGAAATAGCTTTAAATATAACTATATTCAAATCAGACCAGATCAATATTTATTCAAATCAGATCAGAACCAATCATATCTGGTGAAGAGAACATGGCTAAAATAGACTTTCAATTTTTTTGAGGGAACCTTTCAATTTGGCCATTGGACGAAGTTAGAATGTTTTTAAATACTCGTGCTTCTCTAAATGAGATTTATATAGGGATTTACAAGAGAAAAATATTTTTTTAAAAATTTATTCTATATCAGATTTGGTGTAGAAATAAAAAATAAAAATTACATTTTTAAGAAATAGGGAGAAAAGGCAAAATAAAAGTAACATGGAGAAAGAACGAAAATAAGACGTTCATGTTATTATATCCAAAATATGAATTACAATGTCAATAATTACAACATATAATGTAAAAAATACTATTAAATGCTAATATACAGCGTTGAAGTCATAGTGCAAAATTTTATTTTGAGAATAAAAATATGTCGTTTGTATTTTGGGGATAATGACTATGTTGTATGTTGTTACGGAATAAAGTAATTGAGTAATCGAAGTAAATAGAAAATTTAAATACACACAGATTTAGCGTGGTTCACCAGCATTGTGTTGGCTACGTCCATAGGGGAGAATGGAGGCGGATTGTATTATGACAACGGTTCTAGAGTACAAAGTTTTTGTGTCATACCTCTATATAAATAGACACACCAGATGGGCTAGGCCCAATACAATAATTAGAGCAAAAAACAACAACATAGTATACCGTCAGGCCGGGGGCGACTCTGCCCCCGGACCCCAGACGAGGGGAGACCCCGTTTACTTATCTGTGTCGCGGCAAACAATACAGATTTAAGGCATATTAACAAATCTGCACCTTGACTTGAAATCTCCTTCCAGATGCATCATCACAATGCCAGACGAACAGACTCATCCGTTCTTGCCTCAAATTTGCCCTCCTCGGGCAACTAACAGCTCATGATGTTAAGCAAGTCCAAACAATGTCGGAACTTGCTATGTTGGACTGGCTTGGTGAACATATCAACACGATTATTAGTAGTCCCTACTTTCTCCATCCCGATTTTCTTCTCATTCCTCAAAAAATGATACCTCACATCAATATGTTTGGTCCTCTCATGATGGACCTGATCCTTGGCTAAACAAATAGTGTTTTGACTATCACAAAACACATCAGCTTGCTCTTGATGTAGACTAAGATCACCAACTAGGCCTTTCAACCAGATTCCCTCTATATAAGCTTCTGTCAACTCCATATTCTCTACTTTAGTAGTTGACACTACAAAAAGAGAGGACAATACCGATAGATCCTTAGTGACAGAAACCTTATTTGTTGCTAAAAAGAGAATATTAGCGAAAGATAAAATTATTTGAAGGCAAAAACTATTTGACCCACAGAAATAGTCATATCTGTCGCTATTGGTTATAGTTTTAGCAACAAACTTTTATTTGTCGGTATTGCTTATAGTTTTAGTGACAAAACTTTATCTGTCAATATTGTTGTTTGGTCGTAATTCTAACTTTCAAAAAAAATTTAATTTTAATAATGTTGTTTAAAAAAATTTTAATTTTTAATTTTTAAAATTTTTTAAAAATTTTGTTGTTTGGTCGTAATTCTAACTTTCATTTAAAATTAAATAAATATCAAAACAAAAATAGTAAAATAAGATATTTTAAAATATAATCTTTCTATCGTCAAGTTAATACTCAAATTGAAGGTCTCGACGAGATGAGTTCAACAGCGTATCCGGCATGCAAATCTGAATTACGAAAGTCATGGATTTGTCCGTCCCAGATCGAAAAGATTATAAAGAAAACGAATAAAATATGAATATGACATAGATATACCCTAATGCTCGTGTCTATATAGCCTATTGTGTGTATGCTTGCCTTGTTGAGAAATTGAATTTGCAATTGAATCGGTAGAATTTGGATGATGATAGTGGTGAATTGAATCGTGGTATTGTGTGAATCAAACATATTTGGACTGAAATTAGGAATCAAAAATCGGGAAATTGGGTGGAGGTCGATCCACGTACCATATATTGGTCGCCGGTTAAGGGCGGTTTTCTGGGGACATCTCCGTTTCCAGCAGGTGCTGCGAGGGATGATGATTGGGGTCGTTCATCTCCTCGTCTCGTTTTGGTATTGATTCGTATCCACGACTGAAACTTACTCGGGATAATAGTTCAGTTAGGGTTTTATGTTACTTTGCTGTTTTGTGAATTTTATTGAGAACTTCGAAAACTGCGATTTGTATATGTTAGATTGATTTGGGCAGAGAGGGGTTGCGCTAACTAGACTCAAGTTGTGCAGGGTTGGAATCTCACTTACTTGCATTCTATGTGCCATCCATATATTTTGGGATTGATAAGCGAGTAGCGACAGACATATTGACCTCTGTCGGTGTTGCCTCCTTTTTTGTAGTGAGAGAGAGTAGTTGCGGTCTGCAAAGTTGCTTTCCAACTAACAACAGAACCACCAAATGTGAAAATCAATGTGGAATTGTTTTATTGAGGGCAATGTTACTATTAAAGAGCATCCCACATTGGAAAAGTGTGAGAAAATTAATCGGTATATAAGCTCTTGAGTTGAGGAAATTAATCGGTATATTACATCGTAGCTGATAGACTTCTATCAGCTACAAGTGCATTAAAATGAGACACCTCATTTGTACATTAAGTTTCACAGATACATACAGACACATAATGTTTGTATGTGCACAAACATTACGTGTCTATGTCACTATGTGTGCCTGTGAAATCTTGGTGAACAAATAGAATACCTCATTCTGGTGTACCGTATGTTAAGTGTTTTATGAAAGAGAAGTAAGATGTGTTCTGTTCGCTTGATTTGATGATCTGATTTTTTGAAGCCATGATATGATCTGATCTGATCAAAATTAAATTTGATTCAAATAAAACTTAAAATTATTGTCCTTAATAACTTTTTAAAATTATAATGATGATAATAGTATATACGACGGCGTACCGTACATGATGGAAAATAGAATTGCCGTAAAATGCAAGCAATCCTACTGCACGTGCTTAGCTCCTCCAAAGGAACACGTACTCGGCCGTCGTGAAAGACTGAATATTATTATTACCTCATTCCTCTTAGAATGTTTTTCTCGTTTTTGTTTATAAGATTTGATCTGTTTTTTTATTACAAGTGTAAAATTAAAAAATAAATTTTATATATTAAAAAAAAAGTATCGGAAGTTTTACAAAATTAAAGGTAACAAAACTATATTATTTTATTAAATAACTAACAAAAATAAGTAAAGAAAATAATTAAACTCTGACCATGTGAATAGTAACTTGGAAGAAGACCAAAGGAGTATATTATTATTATTACGGACTGTGAGTATTAATTTATTATCATCATTGTTAACGTATTCAAATCATCGATCCGATCCGATCCGATCATCTTTAACAAACTTTTAATCCGAAGAAATTTAAAAAAGTTAAATCATCAAAGGATTTGGAGGAGGCGTCAAGATTAATCAAGGTTTTCCATGTTTTGGATATATATAAATATAAGTATGATGACAACTTTTACTGTGTATATGGATCAAATGTAAATTTAATAATATCCAAGCCGATCTCGCTCTAGATTTATGGGATCGAATTTTTGCCACTTGTTAAAAAAGAGAACGTATCATATTGCATTCCCACTTTTGCTCATCGGATAAAATGCTTACAAGTTCCTTATTTTTTTGAAAGTATTTCTAAGTCCCTGAATTATTTTAAGCGCTTAGATATATCTTGTATATATATTTTTGAAAGTGCTCCATAGGTCATTAAATTATATTTAGTTTCTACCACGTCAATATACTTGTTGGGGATTCCTCCAAGTCCCACACCGGAGGGAGAAGAAAAAATGGACCAAAATATATAGGTTCACCCAACCTCATTAGCGGACAATATCATACTAATGCGGGGTTGGGGTGAGGGCACGCGCAATCGCAACATGTGGTATCAGAGCCCAGGTTCTTGCGGGCGTGAGCAGCGGACTGTGTAGTCTGGAAAAAATTTCGGTGTGGCAGTGTAACAATAGGACCAAGACCAAGAAAGAGGATCTGCAGGTGGTGCCTTGTGTCGAAAGTCTTCCCGACGAGATGAGGTCGGGCGGTGTGTCCCGTGAAGTTATAGCCACGGCGGTACAAGATGATTTGGCGGATCAAATGGTGTAGCCCAGCGAAGGAAAAGATCTGCGGTTCGAGCCCAAAAAGAGGATCTGCAGGTGGTGCCTTGTGTCGAAAGTCTTCCCGACGAGATGAGGTCGGGCGACGTGTCCTGTGAAGTTATAGCCACGGCGGTACAAGATGATTTGGCGGATCAAATGGTGTAGCCCAGCGAAGGAAAAGATCTGCGGTTCGAGCCTTGTGAAAAAAAGATTACATAATCCTATAGAAAAAAAAGAAATTGTAGTCTTGAAGTGTGTTGATAAAATTCATTTTTGGAACATCTAACAAATGTTTTTAGGTTTCTGAGATGCCCCCAATAATGAAAACTGTTTATTCTTTTTAATTTTAAAAATAAAAATAGGTTTTTTTTATATTTTTTAATATGTTAAGGGTTGGTTAAAACAAATCTTATTTTTTGTCCTGAAAATTAAAGAGCTATGCAAATAATTTAGGCATTTCATATTATTCTCGGTTCTGAAAAAAATCTTTTTAAATTATTCTTTAATTTAAAAATAAAATCAATTAAATTTATATTTTATAAATATTTCTGTTGGGTTATGGAACCCGGGGGCCTAGGTGGCTAGGCGGATGAGTATCGAACTAAGTATGAGCGCACGAAAATATGGGGTCAAGTAGACTGAGAATGGTATTGTGCTAGTGAGGATAATACTTAGAACGTAAGTCCGGAGCGAGTGGAATGAGCTCCTCCCCCTTTCCCTCTTCCTATAAGAGGGGTATATATAATGGGAGAGTAAGGGCTAGGGTTTACATACAAAGACAAATGGGCCGGCCCAACAGGCTGGGCCGCCCTAAATAAGTAATTAACAAACGAAAAACGGGCCGATCGCACAAACTGGACCGCCCCGACTGATATTACACAAAGACCGGATACCCCCTGTCCGGGGTATCCATCATGAGTCCCCCACTTCTTGAGCCGAGAGGAACTCGAGGTGAAGTGGAAGTAGAACCATAATTCTCCACGGAGGGACACCATCCTCCTTGCTGTCTGGACTGCACCGCCAACTCGCTGTCCTGAGCACGGTGAAGTAAGGCAAGCGACGCCATTTGTCTCGAAATGCAACGCCAACTCGCTGCTCCGAGTAAGACAAGGTGAAAGAATCTGCATTCGTGGATATGAGATGCATTGCCGTCATTTGCCGACTCGTTGTCCAGAGTGGCCAAGTAAAAGAAATCGTAGTACTGAGCACGATGTGCGCTGCCGACTCGCTGTCCGGAGCGGCACGGTAAAAAAGTATGCCCCAATCTGCTCATTGTCTTGAAAGGTTCTGCTCTCGTACAAAGGGCATCGTCGGTGTGTTGTTCAGAGTGCATGAATAAGTCGTCATCCTCTCACAATCCCGTCAATGTGTGACCCATTCTACGGGGGATGCCTCATTAAAAACTTGCCGAGGAAAAAACCCATGAGGATGGGAAAAAAATCCTCGGTCAAGAAAAGAGTACATCTCGTCCCACAGAGTGGATCAAGAAAACATTGCTAGGGTGTGAGGTCTTCTGTGTGAATCTCAAAAGAGGTGATCGTCAAGTCCCCCGGACTCGATGTCCGGAGTCGAGGGCAGTTCAACATAACGGATTGCCGACGAGTGCATGCCAACACGGACTACTACGGTCTGATACAAGGTCGGGATGTCGGTCGCCAACCTCTCCAGATGTGAGATGTAACCATCACGAGCCGAGCACCCGGAGTCCCCCACTCCCTAAGCCAAAGAAGAATTTCGAGGCAAAGGGGAGTAGTGTCCATGCTCGGCTCCGTTGGGAGTCTTTGGCCCCTTCACGAGATGGCCGAGGCCGAGCTTGAGTTGATGTGGCCAAGCTCGAGTTGATGAGGCCGAGCTCGCGTTGATAAGGCCGAACTCAAGTTGATGAGGCCGAGCTCGAGTTGATGGGGCCGAGCTCGCGTGGATGAAGCCGAGCTCGAGTTGATGAGGCCGAGCTCAAGTGCATCACGCGGTGGCTAAGGCTGAGCCTAGCCTTCTCATCCTTCAAACCTGCAAAATAAGTTCAAAAAAGAACACGAGGCGCTCGCGGGATCGGGTGGACCGATCACCACGCGGCCGAGAAAAGTAAGTCAACGTATGAGTTGGGTCCAAAGCTTTGGACAACAGATAGGCATGATCAACGGAGTGCGCCGATCGTGTAGTAGTTTGGTCTAGAACAAACCTTGACGTCATCCTTAGTGAGACCGGGGTCTTCAAATGAGAGCTGCTCGGGTAAGTGAGATAGGCACAAAGGATGCACCCCTCGCCTTAGATCCGAGAGCAAATAGTTCACGTCGTGGAAGACGGATATATAGGAGTGCGTCGAGATGGACGGCTTACCTCGGCCTCGCGATAATATCGTTGCGGACGATCTGGAGTGCCTCGCGGGGAGGGCTTACCTCAGCCTCGTAGAAGAGGAAATAAAATCACGTCGTGGGAGACGGATGGGAGTGCGTCGTGGTGGACGGCTTACCTCGGCCTCGTGGAAGAGGAAATGAGATCGCGTCGTGGAATACGGATGTATAGGAGTGCGTCGAGATGGACGGCTTACCTCGGCCTCGCGATACTATCGTCGTGGACGATCTTCAACACCTCGTAGGGAGGTTTTACCCGGCCTCGCTAAGGGATGACTAAATGAGTTGGATCTGAGCCATGCCCTGAGGCAGGTCGCTGGCCTGTGTGGGGTGTGAGATTGAGCTTTGCACTCGTCCCACATCAGGGCTTAAAGTGTTGAACACAAAGTGTAATACCATCGTCCAAGTGAGGTCCGATCACATGTGGTGGACAAGGTAATGGTAATAATAATAGAGCAAATGATAGCAATGATGATATTGCTGATATTCTAAAAATAATATAAATGGATAGTTGAGACAATGGTGTCAGACACTTATCTTTTTTTATTGAGTCCAGACTTCCCAAGAGAAAATGCACAGACACGCCGTTTGCAAAAGCTAACCACTGTTGGAGCTACAGCATATACTCGGCCAATGAATTTCCTTAAGCTCTTTAGTCCTTCCTTCTAGATCTGAGTGGGGGAGGATTAAATTTCCCCATTACTGAACGGTGAGGACGTAAAAGCCGTCATGGGACGGTGAAATCCGGACCCTTTCGCCGCCATTGTTGAACGTGGTGCGATTGCTGGATGTTCCGTCACTAGCCAATATCTTTGTCTCATGGCTGGCCGGGACGAAGGAGTGAACGGAGCAGCAACGCGGATCCGTCCAGGGGCCAAGTGAGGCATTGGCCATTTGAGGGGGTGCCGTCGGCAGCGATAGATCTGGAGCTATCACGCCCTGGCTGGAGCTNTGGGACGGTGAAATCCGGACCCTTTCGCCGCCATTGTTGAACGTGGTGCGATTGCTGGATGTTCCGTCACTAGCCAATATCTTTGTCTCATGGCTGGCCGGGACGAAGGAGTGAACGGAGCAGCAACGCGGATCCGTCCAGGGGCCAAGTGAGGCATTGGCCATTTGAGGGGGTGCCGTCGGCAGCGATAGATCTGGAGCTATCACGCCCTGGCTGGAGCTCGCCGTCGCTCCAGAGCCTTCGTTGCTGGCTGCGCAGAGGCAGGATGCCGCGCATATCTTGGTCGTCGCGTCCGTACGGTCGTCACCGGTGGATCGTTGCTGGCTAAAGGAAGAGGTGGATGCCTGTTGGGGGTCGTCAGTTGGCTCCTGGGACGACGAATCTGCAGCAGATCTACAGCGAGGCTCTCCCGTCGTGCTTCGAAGCCTGCACTAGGTGGTGGCTGGAAGATCTGTGCGCGGAATCAAGATCTAGGTGGCGATGGGTGGTGGCTCGAAGATCTTGACCTTCTTAGTGGTGGCAATGGCCGGCGAACTCAATCCGGTACCTCCTCAGCAGATCTACGGCGAGGCGCGCCCGTCGAGGCCGGCGGTGATCTTCCGTGTGCCAATGATCTAGTCGGCGATGGCGGGGAATCTAAGACCAGCGACCAATCCCACCACGAAGATTTGGAAGAACCACTCTTTTGTTTGTTTTTTTTGGAGCACGCTTGATGTGTTCGACACTCTCAACGAGAGCACCAATGTTGGGTTATGGAACCCGGGGGCCTAGGTGGCTAGGCGGATGAGTATCGAACTAAGTATGAGCGCACGAAAATATGGGGTCAAGTAGACTGAGAATGGTATTGTGCTAGTGAGGATAATACTTAGAACGTAAGTCCGGAGCGTGTGGAATGAGCTCCTCCCCCTTTCCCTCTTCCTAGAAGAGGGGTATATATAATGGGAGAGTAAGGGCTAGGGTTTACATACAAAGACAAATGGGCCGGCCCAACAGGCTGGACCGCCCTAAATAAGTAATTAACAAACGACAAACGGGCCGATCGCACAAACTGGACCGCCCCGACTGATATTACACAAAGACCGGATACCCCCTGTTCGGGGTATCCATCAATTTCATTTTTAAAATCTCATATCAATATGATAATATCCGTTCTAGGTCAAGTCCAGACAAATTTATTTGTGAACAACTCTCAAAAAGTCTTATACTATATACTCCCTCGGTGCTAAAATTAATTCCCCCAGTTTGACTTTTGTAGTCAAACTTTTTAAACTTTGACCGTATATTACGGAAAAAATATATTGAATTTTCATATAAATTTATTAGCAATAGATTCATTTTGAAACATATTTTGAAATATATACTCCCTCCGTCCCAGAGTATTTGTCCACTTTCATTTTTATACACCATCCAATGCACTTCTTTAATCCATTTTATCTTGTAATTTGTACATTAAAAAATTATAAAAATTATATGTTAATAATCTATATGTTAAGATAAATAAAAAAAGATCACACATGACTATATTTAGGCTTACACATTGAGAGAATTTGATGAGTCAAAGTGCTTAGATGAACAGTTCCAAAAGTCAAAAGTGGACGAATATAGCGGGACGAGGTAGTAATTTTTATAAAATATATTTATATAGAAATTGAGAAATTGATGGTTAAAGTGTCAAATTTGAGAACGTGAAAAGTCAAATGGAAAGTTAAGTTTAGGACGGAGGGAGTATCTCTTTTCTTTTGGTGTGGGAGAGGGAAGTATTTCAATTAAGTATTTAAAAAATAATCTGCCCATGATATTTAATTGTATCGTATTAAAAATTAATCTATTTTATTAAAATATTAATCTACAGTGTACCGTTAATATATTATTAATTTAGAATAATTATTTTCATGCCATAATTAGCAAAAAGAAGAACCGGCGGCGTCGCACATTCATACCATCTACGGAAAATAGGATTAGGTATCTCTCCATATGGACACGTCAGCATATGCAATCGAGCTGCATCTTACGTGGCATGCCCACGGAGACGCCACGCCATCCCTTTGTGACGGGAAAGCGCACAGACTGCCACGTTTCAAATGGTACCGACGCCCATTTGTCCCATTTTCATTCTTAAGGAACATTTTATTTTCCATAAAAAAAAACAGAAGTCGTATGTATTTTAGTTTGTACCAAACAAGACATATGTATTTGTCTCCCAACATAACGTGGGTGAGTGGGACCTCAACCATATGTAATTGTGGACGTTTTATTTAAAAGTGAATTAATTTATTTGAAACAATGTTCTTTCCGTTCATAATTATTGTCTTATTTTTATTTTTTTGTGAAATTTTAACCTTCTTTAAACGTAAATTATGAAACGTTATACTTTAGTAATTATAATGTAAATTCCAAACAATTAATTATTTTTAGATTTAGTTTTAATATATCAAATTTTTATAAATTTTATTTATTTAAAACTCTATTAAATTACTCCTTCCGTCCTAAAATATTCTTCCTGTTTCTGTTTATGAAGTTTGACTGGCTTTATTTTTTATTCAATTTATTTGATTGTAGGTGTAAGAACAAAAAATAAAATTTATATATTTGAAAATTATATAAAAAATTCTACAAAGCAAGATGAGATTGAAACTAAACAACACCTCTTCTGGGAATGCGACTTAGCGTAAGAAGTCTATAAAATACTCCCTCCATCCTGGTATAGAAATAAAAAATAAAATATACATATCAAAAAACTACATGAAAAGTTCTTCGAAATAAGAGGTGTCAAGAATATTTTATTTTATCAAATAACCAATGAAAACGTAGAAATAAACAAAAGTTTCCCCCGACTGTTGAAAAAGCAAATGTTGTGAATATTTTGGGATGGAGGGAGTATAAAATTTGAGAGTTTGATACTCTAAAAACCTGTCATTTGGCAATGTTTAAAGTTAGAAATTATATATCAAACACGTCACATATCATTATTAAAAAATTTAAAATAAATGATATTTTATTTTTAGATGTCAACATTTAGAATATATGTGAGCGAGTGCGAATCACGGGGTTAATACTAGTGTAATTGTATTTGGCAGTTTTCTATATTCATCCTTGTATGTTTGGACGTTAATGACTTTGGTAATAAATCATGTGTTTTACGGCATTAAAAAGGTGACAAGATTATATTATTTTATCAAGTAATTAATAAAAATAGTGTATGTCATCAGAGTTTGACCAAAATCTCAAACTAGAAAAATAAATCTTGGACGAGAGGGGTGTCCCCACTTGTTGGGCGATCGAATTTAGAGAGTATAAGCATAAGACACCTTGCATGAGCTAAAACATAAAAAAAATAATTTTGTAATTGATTATTTAGTTCAACTCAAGAATTTATGTATTTATTATTTTCTTCGCAATTTTTATATATAGAATAGTCTAACACTTCCTCCTCAAGTTGACAAATGAGCCATTTTGAGTCTAACCATTTAACCGCTTGCAAATGAATTCACATCTCCTAAAATGAATATCTAAGAATGTTGCGGTAATTTCTAAAGAACCACGAGTCAGTGGGCATTGAATTACAGACGAACAATCGAATTAAGACTTTATTGTGTTTGACTGATCTTATTGATTTAAATTTGATTTTTTGAATATATGACCTGATCTGGTCTAATTAGATCCGATCTGATTAAATATAGTTTAATATGACTTGATCTGCCTAAATTTGATAAAAAATGATTTGACCAGATTAAATATAATATAGTATAATTAGATCTGATTTTGTCTAAATGGGTATAATCTGGTCTGGTCCGATCTGATTAAATCTGATCTCATTTGAATGAGTCTTGTCTAATCCAATCCAAATAAAAGTTAAATAATAATAATAATGTTATTATTATTATTGTTATTATAGATTTATTTTTTTATCAAATAAAAAAACAGAGTAATATGATACAATTTGATAATAACTTGTCTTATTGAATATTGAGAGATATGGCCCTATATATAGGGAATACAAGAGTAATCAAAGTACAAGTAGGAAAGGAAAGAAGTATCCTAATTTAATTATACTTCCTAATATCCCCCCGCAAGCTGATCAACGAAGACGAGGGGCAGCTTGGAACATAAGTACTCAAAAGGAACTGGCGGAAGCGGTTTGGTAAGAATGTCTGCTAGCTGCTCTGAGGAGGAAACATGATGTGGAGTCATAGTGCCTGCCATAACCTCATCTCGTACAAAGTGACAGTCTGTGCCCACATGCTTCATGCGATCATGAAGAACCGGATTTTTGGTGACACAGATAGTCGACTCATTGTCACAGTATAACTTCGGTNTATTGTGTCATAGTTTTGGTACCTTTACGAAGAGTGTGGAGTTTGTCCCGAAGTTGATAAACATGAGCGGTGGACACGGAGTTGTACCGTGCGGCCAAAGCATCCCAGAGGGCAGCAGATGTGGTGAAGCCGCGAGCATGTTTGTGAACGGAGGGGCTGATGACCGCTAGGAGGCAGGCGCGGATCTGTGTGTCAACGATGGTCCAGGAGGTATACTCTGGATTAGGGACGGTTTTATTGTTTTTGGAGATAGTTGGCGCCAGGGCTGCTTCATGACCATCAATCCATCCAAGGAGGAGATTAGCTGAAAGAGCTGTCTGGACATTGAGAGACCATGCCGGATAATTTATTTCGCTGAGTTTTTCTGGGATTAAGTTATGGAGACTCCGAAGTAAAAGTTTTACTCCGGAGGGTAAAGACGCCAAAGGATCCGACGGGGCTGCCATGGTGTCGGCGGCGGTCGGAAAAAAAAAGAGAGGCTAGGTTTTTGAGAGCCTTAGCTCCGATACCATGATACAATTTGATAATAACTTGTCTTATTGAATATTGAGAGATATGACCCTATATATAGGGAATACAAGAGTAATCAAAGTACAAGTAGGAAAGGAAAGAATAATCCTAGTAGGAAAGGAAAGAAGTATCTTAATTTAATTATACTTCCTAATATAATATAATAGAGATCTAGAAAAAGAAAATTATTGACAATAACTAATTATTTGAAAAATATGCATACTATGTTACGAAAATGAGAACTTTTGAATACTTTGTGCTAATAATGTCAAAAATGTAGATGTCGTTATACTTGTGATAGAAATCGTGCTAACATTATATATATTCTACTTGTAAAAGTCCAAAACAAGTAACTCTTCAATTATGTTTTTTATTTGTATGCAATGATTTTACGCAAAACAGTGTTTGTCAACGATACATTCGAATGTGTATAACTTGTACGTTTGAATGTACGCTTGTGTTTTTACAAAGGTCACTAGTGGTTAATAGCTAATCTAAAATAAAGCAACCATACAAAATACTCCCTCCGTCCCATAAAGTGTTACCCATTTTTACTGAAATTGAAATTAAGAGAAAGATAATTTTGTGTTGACTTTCCAAAAATACTGTTGATGTGCAGTCAAGGTCTTGTAAAGGTTTTGGATGGGCCGTCTCATTGCTTAATTCCCACACAATTATGCTCCGCTGGATGGTCAACTAACTCAGGTTTGGTTATTACTCGTATAGAGTATATTTGGGCATTTGACGTGCGGGAGAGACATTATTAAATACGACGAGCCGCCGCCGGACTCTACTACACGTCGGATTTGAACCTTCCTTTTGAGTTTGAAGAGGAAATTGAAATGGGAAATAAATAAATGGAAAATGAAATTTGCACTAAATACTACGGAGTATATATAAAGCATATGTCTTTTCTTAATTTAGTATTTGAAATTTTTTATTCTCTAAATAGTACTCTCTCCGTTCCACAAAATCCTTCTCCTTTCGTTTTTTTTTAAATTCCCTAAAACACATCCACTTTCTATTTAAAAAAACCACTTTTACCCTTACTTTTTCATACCCTACCTATCACATCATACTTTTTCACTAATAACCAAACTATTGTTAGACAAGGCGTGCAACTCTAGAGGGGGGGTGAATAGAGTTGTTGAGAATGTTTACCGATTTTGGCAGGATTAAAAAATATAAACGTAAGTGCAGCGGAAATAAAATAGAGAAGGCAAAGAACACACCGATGTATACTGGTTCACCACCTTGTGGCTAGTCCAGTTCCCCGAGAGACTCTCTCGAAGCTACCACTACTTCCGTTAAGCTTACGGGTGCTTAACAAACCGTTTACAACTCGAGAACTTGAATCCCACAAGCCTCGACACAATCGCTCGTAGATATGCCCTCTACAAGACTTCACAACCAAGACTTAAGTCACATAAGTCTTGAACAACAAGAAGAACAATCTTCTTCAACCTCTCAACAATAGCTCTCAAAAGAGTAGATAAGAGAAATGATTAAAGCTCTAATGGATGACAAGAAACCTCTCTTAAAAACAAATATTTTCTCTCAAAATAATATAAATTTGAGGAAGGATTGATGGAGGATTAACACCTCAAGAATGGGGAGTATTGGAGTGTTTCTTATTATGAAAAATGACCAAGGAATGAAGTTTATAAAGGGGTTGAAGGAATATATCCATTGGTCCAAGAAAAGAAGCTGTGATGAAAAATGCAGCATCATAATCGATTAATGCATCACCATAATCGATTAATGCATCATAAAAAATCGATTATGGCAGCTGAAAAAATCGATTAAAATTGCGAGAGCCAAATTCCTTCTGCGCAGAAAAGTGATAATCGATTAAAACCAAAGGTGTTAATCGATTAATTCCTTCTAAAC